CTTTACTTTGGGGCCCTTTAGGTGTTAATAATAACATAAAATGGGGGGAGGGAGGAGAGATAGAAACCCAAGGAATTATGAAGAAACATTTGCTGTCAGTGGAATACACACCATATAGATCCAGTTTCACAGGATGCAAATGTTTTCAGCTGCCAAGAAAAACAATTTCACCTATATTCATTTCAAAGTGCCATGTTAATCTGTAAAATGATGATGCTTCATGGTCTTTTGCAGTATTTTTCCTTTAAGAAAGCAAGCATAATCTTTGAATACAGACTTTAGAATATTGCTTCTTTGCATACAAAAGTAGTGAGAATAACTAACAGAGAACGGAACAGAAAATATTTTTATTCACCTGGGGGCAAATGTGTGAAGCATGCAAATGTGCACAGAATAAAGTGGTATGTGTTTTTCATAGACTCTTTTTGTCGTCGTCCCCTTAGATTTTGCTGAACTGTATTATTAATGGCAGCAGTGCTGGCACCAGAAACCTTAGAAAACTGCCAGGGTTCTGCCAAGGCCCATTGTTGACTCTGCCTTGGGCTCCCCTTAACTTACTTTCTGGCCTGGCATTCCAAGCAGCAACAGCTGGCCAGTGGGATGCACTGAAATTTCTCATAGGGGAACAGTTAGGGCCAGAAGCACCAGCTTGCAAGGGTGATGGGGGGAGTTGTGACGTCCTGTCGTCATGCATGTGACCTCCCTCCCTAAGCCAGACAGAAACTACCCAGGCATTAGGAAGGAGGCACCAGGCCTCTGACAGGATGCTAGAGCCCTTCTGCCTCCTTCCCAAAGTAGTGGACCCCGCTTGGATCCCATCGGAGCATCATGCCTAAGCTGGGTGAAAGTTTCCAAGCACCCAGCTTTAATACTTTAATACTCTAATTTACTGGGGACATTTAGAGGACTAACCTAGTGCTCCTAGTCCTCCTAGTCCTAGTCCTAGTCCATTGACCACACGCACTGCAGCTGGCTGGGTCTAGCCGCCACTGACATGTGTCACAGTGCCCCAATGCAGTATGACTCAGGAGCACGGTGGGAAATTAAAATGGTGGTCTTTACTCTAGACCCAGCTATGTGGCAGTGCCAGGATGAAGGCACTTTCCCTCAAAAATGGACCCAGCCCTACAGGGGAATAATGAGGATAAAGAAGCTGTAGTACCAGCTTTTAAGGGCCATAAATAATCTGGAGTGAAGAGTGAGATGGTTGATAGAAGAAGAAGCCCCATCCCAAGGGCTCCGGCAATATTCAAGCAGCATAAGAAAAGGGAAGATAGGATCTCTTGCATGCCTGGGCATGTACATACATTCCTTGGGTTGTATGTTTTGCAGAACATGAAATGATGGATAATAACAATAATGCTTGGACTTTAAGGAATTCATTCCATATGGTTTTAATATTTGATAGGACCAGTTCCAAATACGTTCATTGGAAATGTGAGATATTGTGGTGTTCCTGTTTCTATGTTCTGAGGCAGTTAACGGAGTAAGCTTAAACGTAGAAGAAACAGCTGTCATCCTAATGCCACATTCTACAGTTGTATTTAGGGACTGCTATGAGTGGTGATGTGAGTGACTAAGAGAAAAAAATAAATGCAAGCCAACAATACAGATTTTGAAAGCAGTGCAGTATGGGCCACATTAGGGACACCAGAAATATTTAAAATTCCATGCTGTGTTTTGCAGTGTTGAAAGAAAAACACATTACTCATCAGCATGGTGCATGGAGAAAAAAGGAACACAATAATTGGTTAGTTCAATAGCAAATTCAATCAATTTCCATCCAGATCCTTATCTTTTTTGCATCTAGTAATGTAAGAGGTCAGGAAAAGAAATATCAACAGTATGAACCACACATACAGCCCATGGAAGTAGCCGTTCTGGCACACAATAACAATCCTGTGTAAACATGGGATTTGCACCATTCCTAACTGTGTAAATGATATTACATCTTGTTTGGCTTTCTTGAATAGAACAAATGAGCCCACAGCAATGAGTTATGAGAATGAACAGAGGCAATAATTCTTCATAGCACCAGGGCCCTGTCTAGGTATTGTCCTCTCTAGGCACAAGTTGAAGCAAAATGATAGCAAAAGTGGCAACAAAACATGTCTCTCCCATATCATTCTCTACAGCCACAGCAGGCGCTGTAACTCTCCAATGGTTTGCCTTCACCTCCAAAGGCACACTCTTCCATTGTCTCCCCAGACAGACAGATGCCAACAAGCAGTGGCATCACACTTTTTGTTGCAAGTTATTAAGCTGTCTAAATAACCTTTCTACAACTCAGGTTAAGACCCAGTATTTGGCAGTAATCCAGTTAAGCGTACTGAAGCTAAAGCACCTTAAACCCAAGTGCCCTGGCTTAGCTTTGGTTGGCGATCAGGCTGAAATGTGCCTGGAAATGTGGATACAATTATAATACTATAGCAGCCCAAGAAATAATTGAGGGTCAATTTTAGTGCAATAAGTGGGTTCTGTAATGGGAGGGGCTAAGTCACAGCAATGAAGAGGGATGGTTTGCTGAGGACCCTGATTCAAGGGAGCCCAGTGCTGAGGATTCTGGGGAGGGTCCCATGGGGGTGGATTTCTTTCAACCTCTCGCACCCTGCCAGCCACCACAGTGAGAGCCACAAGCCAGACCTTCCTCTCCACACCTGTCAGAGGCCATCGCCAATGCTTCTGCTGTGCCGGTCTTGCTACCCACTCTGCCTCCAGAGTTGTCAGACCCTGCCTTTCTGGAGGGGGATGCTCCACCAGCCCTGTCCACCTCTCAGGTCCCAGTGATACCTCTCTCATCACCTAGATCCTGGAGACACCAGCAGAGGCATGAACAGATGGGGTAGGTTCAGCCCTCTAGGTTGCTTGCTAAGGAACAGAGTCACTTGCTGCACTACGTTATGGCCACCTCATTCCTTTAGAACAGGATTGCAGGAGGGGGTGTCATCACTGGATCAATGTCTTCCCTTGTGTAGCCTGCGGTGCTTTTGCGGATTTGTTCCTTTGAAGTTATGTGTATTGCTTGCTGTGCCTTTGAATAGGGCTTTTGTGTAGGTATTGCATTGATCTGAGCATTAAAACTTTTTTTTTTTTAAAGGGGTGGAGGTGGAGGGAATCTTCTGCATTTGAGTTCATCATCAAGTGGAAGTCAGGACAGGAACCAAAGGAACTGATGATGTTGCATGCTTAAATCTTAAAGTCCATATGAATGTGTTATATTGTGATTCAGTGGACTGATCACATAATTGTAATTACACACAATATTGGAGTTCTTTCATTCTTTGATAAGTTAGAGCAGCTGGAATAACTGCACGATTAACTGAAACCGACGAGCTTTTTGATGAGTGAATTGATTTATTACTGCATTTATGATGGTTGATCATCAAGGAATGGCGAAGGCAGGAGATGAATCACTGCAACAGCACGCACAATGGAAAGTTGCACCTTCATGGTATTCTAAATTGTCAATACAATCTTGACACTTCACGAAATTTTAGCAGTTGACTTCATGCTGACTCCCTCCAGAGCTAACACTTACAAATGGTCTTGCTTTTCCTCCTTGCATCCATACCTTTTGTTAGAGTGGTGGTGGGAATCCAATTTAGATACCTACTATTAATCACACCTAAGCTCATGAAAGATGCACATCTAAGAAGAGCATCTATCACAATTATTGCAAAGCACCCAGAAAACCCCCAGAATTTGCATTTTGAAGGACTCCTTGGCATAATGTCAGTGATCAAAGTAATGTGCTTTTATGTGTGGCTCCTTCAATAAACAGCATGTTCTCAAGGTGGTTTTTATAAATGATCCAGTAGTAGAGGTCTTTGTCAGTATGATCACATCATCTATTTGCATTAGAACCACATTTGGCTTATATGTTGGCTGGATCTTAATGTTAACGGCAATAATTGAATACAAAACCAAGGTGAACTCAGGGAGAAAATTCAGGCTTCAGAAAGTAGTCCAATTGTGCCTTGAATTAGTAGAGAGAAAATAAATTATAGCTAGCACCCAGCAATAAATAAGTTGTGTATGGATTAATTGGAGAAAGTTTCAATAGCATTCAGCCTCTGAGGTAATAGAGTATTTTTATTAGACTGAAATCCTATACCCACTTACATTGGAGTAAGCCTGATGGGACTTGATGAGACTTGTTTCCAAGCAGCAGTCATGTACAGGGTGCATAGCTGTCAACTTTTCCCTTTTCTTGCGAGGAATCCTATTTGGAATAAGGGAATTTCCCTTAAAAAAAGGAAAAAGTTGACAGCTATGACAGGGTTGTGCTGAAAGTCTCTGAAAGCTGGATTTGGGCATCTAGTTTTGTTTTGAGAAAGGATTGGGAGACCATGGAATTCTTTATTGTCATTATTACAAAGAGAAAATACATATAAATGACCAAAAAGAGAGAGAGATTGCCCAGATGATCCCTAGTCCTGACAAAATCAGATGACACAGGGAAGCCCTTAGAGCTAGGAGTGGCCGCTGATACCATATAACACCGGTCATGAAAGACCTTAATTGGCTCCCAGTACATTTCTGAGCACAATTCAAAGTGTTGGTGCTGATCTAAACAGCCTTGGCCCAGTACACGTGAAGGAGCATCTCCACCCCCATCATTCAACCTGGAAACTGAGGTCTAGCACTGAGGGCCTTCTGGCAGTTCTCTCACTGCGAGAAGTGAAGTTACAGGGAACCAGGCAGAGCGCCTTCTTGGCAGTGACACCCGCCCTGTGGAACACCCTCCCATCAGATGTCAAGGAAATAAACAACGACCTGACTTTTAGAAAACTTCTGAAGGCAGCCCTGTTTAGGGAAGTTTTTAATGTTTGATGTTTTGCTGTGGTTTTAATATTCTGTTCGGAGCCGCCCAGAGTGGTTGTGGAAACCCAGCTAGATGGGCGGGGTATAAATAATAAAGTATTTATTTTTTGTTAGGTATTTATGAGCCTGGGGGGCTGCATCTGGCCTCTGAGCCTTAGTTTGCTGACCCCTGGTGCACTTCCTGGAGGCGGCGCGAAACGGCAATGGCGGTCCTCTTCGGTCTCTGAAGAGGGGCTCCGCAGAAAAGGGTCGTCCGCTGCGGCACAGCGGTGACCCATTAAGAAAAACCACGGGCAGAGTGAGCCCGTGGCCGTGGGACTCGGCGGGCACCAGGAGCGACCCCAAAAACGAAGAAGGAACCCCGTAAGGGGCTCCGGAAACGTGGAAGGGGGAGCGGTGCTGTGAGTTCATCGCTCTTTCTGCGGGAGCGAAGCCGCGCGGCTGCTGCTGATGAGCGCCGACCTTTCTTCTTGGAACATCAGGCTCTAAACTACCTACTCGTGAGTAAGGATCAATCATTTTGGGACTAAAAGTGTTAAATTTGGCTGAAAGCGGGAGACGATAAACAGGAAGTCCGTCTTCCGGCAGTGCTTTAAAGATCAAAGGCAAAGATTTTAACAAGCGGGAAGCAGCTTTAAAAGATTATAAATTTGGGACTATCGTGTTGATAGAATTGGCTTTTAAAAAGAAGGAGAAAAGATTTTTATTTCTAAGTGTTTTGGACTTTAAATGGGACTTTCCTCCCCTTTATGGATTATAAAGAATTAAGAACCAAACCTCGGACTGACAGGAAAAAAGAGAGCTGTCATTGCGGAAACTGTATCCAAAATAGAGACTGTTACAGTTGAGTGATACTGGCAAGATACAATTAAATAAACTGTTACTGGCACCTTTTATCTGAGACTTTGTGGCAGCTTGGGAAGTGCTCTGTAAGCTAAAAAGTTTATGAAGAACTTTTGGTAAATTAGACTGTTTTGAGGCTGCAGGGACTTTAATGGCGGATAAAGTTCTTTCCTTTCTATGAACTACAGTAATACTCCCCTAGTGGAGTTCTGGAATTACAAGTGCCTGGGAACAAATTTTATTTGGACTATCTGCTGCTCTGTTATTTACACTTTGGAACTGTCCTTCCCATGGGACAATATACAGCTTGACCTTGACTCATAGACAGGTGTGGAATGAGTGGCCAACCGAAAACAAGATCTGCGAAAACGAAAGCAAGACAAGCCCAACTTGTGCAAACAACTTTGACTACTCAGTCACGTAGATCATCTGTCCCAGCTGTTTTGGGAGTACAAGAAAAGGAAACTGCACAGCCTGCATCAGAGGATATGGCAGAGGGAGGATCAGATACCTTCTTACAACAAATGTTAGAACAATTTGCAATATTGAACAAGAAGGTGGATGACCAATCGGCAAAAATAGATCAAGCCACATCCTCTATTACTAAATTGTCTGACCAAGTTGCACAACATACACAAGTTATTGGGAATCTCAAGGAAGCAACTGTGGAAAATCGGAGACTGGCTGAAGCAGCCAATGAAAAAGCAGAACAAGCAAATCAAAAAGTTGAGGCTATAAAAGGGGAGGTAAGGCCACTACACAAGCACATTAGTGATCAGCAGGCTTACCTGTCTATGGTGGAATTGAGAAACCGGGAAAACAATCTGAGATTAAGAGCTATCCCAGAGCTTGAACAGGAAGATTTAATTGGTTATCTGACAGCAGAATTTTCCAAGTTCTGGGGTATAGAAGAGGACAAAGATTTCAAGATCACAACTGCGTTCAGATTAGGAAGAGTCGTGAGGAGGGACAAGCCCAGAGACTGTTTGATTATTTTGAGATCCAAGCAGGAGAGAGATAAAATACTAGGCCTCCACTTTAAGAAATCACTTGATATCCAAGGCAAAAGAGCAGAATTTTATAGAGATATTCCTAAACAACTTTTGGATCTCAGAGCCACATATACAGACCTAGCAAGACTACTGAGAGGAAACGCGATTCCATATAGGTGGGAGTTTCCCCAAGGTTTATCTTTTAATTTTAAAGGAAAGAAAATTAAGATTAAAACATCAGAAGATAACCAGAAGTTCCTGCACGACCACGGAGAAGACCTTCAGAAGGAGCAGCAGCCTCTTGGCCACCGCCACTGCCTGGAAAAGCACCGATACCTACACCCTCGGGGCCAGAAGAAAAGGAAGACACCCCACTATAGGAACAACAGATTGATTCAGAATGTCTCTGCAGCTGTACAGTTGGAATATAAATGGCGGGAACTCCCGGAAAAAAGACGAAGGATTTTTCATATTTTGAAAAAGAACAATTGGATATTGTTTGCTTGCAGGAAACGCATGTGACTAGGCTCCATAGGAAAGTGTTAATCAACAAAAGACTAGGCCAAGAATTTATTTCATCAGACAAAGTCAAGAAAAGAGGCGTAGTGATTTATGCAAAGGAGAACCTGTCACCGAAATTTCTGTTTAAAGATGAGCAAGGAAGAATTTTGGCAATTGAGATACAAACACAAGGAGAAAAGTTTTTGATTTTAGGAATATATGCACCAAATGAGGGGAAATCGGAATTTTACAAGAAGCTGCATGAGATAATGCTGGACTATCTGGACTATACCAACATCATAATGATGGGCGATATGAATGGGGTGGTTTCTACTCACATGGATAAGTCACAAAATCAAAATTTAACTAAAGACGGCAGACTACCTAAAACCTTCTTTGAACTAACTGATAACATGGACTTGATTGATATTTGGAGGACAAGGAACCCCTTAGGTAAAGAAGGAACATTTTTTCTGAGGCCCACCTATCATGGACAAGAATCGACCAAATATGGACAACTAGAGGACTGGCACCTAAGATCAGAAAAGTGGAAATCTGTCCAAAGACTTGCTCCGACCATAATGCTTTGAAAGTGGAATTGAGACTTACTCCAACCGGTTCTTTCAGATGGAAAATGAATGACACCCTACTAAGAGATCAGGAGATTGTGAAGAAGGCCCAAAAACTTTAAAGGACTATTTTGAAATCAATTTGAACACTTCGGTGGAAAAGAGAACAATCTGGGACGCAAGTAAAGCTGTAATGAGGGGGTTTCTGATACAACAGAACACAATCAAGAAAAACTTTGGAATGGGAAAAAAGATAGGATATTAGAGAAGATAAGAGAAGGAGAGAAAAATTGAGATTAAAACCAAAATCAAAAGAGGTTTTAAGAGAAATCAAATTCCACCAAGCTCAATATGCGAAATTGATAAATCAAGAAGTGGAATGGAAAATCAAACAAATGAAACAAAGATCATTTGAATCGGCAAATAAATGTGGAAAACTGCTAGCATGGCAGTTGAAAAAGAGACAAAAATTGAACTTTGTCACTAATCTAGAGGTGGAAGGGAGAAACATTCAGAAACCAGAAGAAATTAGAAAGTGTTTCCAGAAATATTTCAAAAACTTTATACACAAGGGCCTCAGGAAGTGTCTGAGATAGATCAATTTTTAAAAGTTAACGGTCTATCCAAACTATCTCAGGAGAAGAGGACAATCTTAAATAATAGAATAACACGACAGGAAATAGAGGGTGCCATTCAGAATATGCAACTAGGCAAATCTCCAGGCCCAGATGGACTTACCTCCAAGTACTATAAGACACTAAAAGACTATTTGATACAACCACTAATGGAGGTCTGTAACCAGATTATGGAAGGGAGGAGGGCACCGGAAACGTGGAAAGAAGCTTTCATCACATTGATTCCTAAATTGGAATCTGAAAAGACTCAGCTTAAGAACTACCGTCCCATCTCACTCCTAAATGTGGATTACAAAATTTTTGCTGATATTTTGGCGAGCAGACTTAAAAAAATACTTAACGAAGTAATTCATAAGGACCAGGCAGGCTTTCTCCCAGGGAGACATCTTTTGATAATACCAGGAACATTATTGATATTTTGGAACTTTTACAAACTAATATCAATACGAAAGCTGTGTTAATTTTCATCGACGCGGAGAAGGCCTTTGATAATATTTCTTGGATGTTTATGAAGAGAAACCTGGAAGGGATGGGAGTGGGACGGGGTTTGAAAATGGAATAGAAGCAATTTATTCTGAGCAAAAAGCTAAACTGATAGTAAACAATGTGGTGACAGATGAGTTCAAAATTGAAAAAGGGACACGACAAGGGTGCCCCTATCCCCCTTTTATTTATTTCAGTCCTGGAGGTGTTACTGAACATGATTAGGAAGGACCGGTTGATACAAGGAATACAGGTCGGAGCGAAACAATATAAATTGAAAGCTTTTGCAGATGATTTGGTTTTAACATTACAGGAGCCAGAATCTAGTACAAAAAGAGTATTAGAATTGATTCATGAGTTTGGTCGGGTGGCGGGATTTAAGTTGAATAAGCAAAAACTAAGGTTTTGGGGAAAAACTTGACACCCTCAGAAATAGATGGGTTTCAGAAGGAAACAGAACTAAGTGTGGTAAAAAAGTGAAATACCTAGGGGTTCACTTGTCAGCGAAAAATTTGAATCTATTTAAAGACAATTATGAAAAATGTTGGCTGGAAATCAAAAAGATTTGGAAATCTGGTCAAGATTGAAACTTTCCTTGTTGGGTCGAATTGCTGCTATAAAAATGAATGTATTGCCGAAAATGTTATTTTTGTTTCAAACCCTACAGATTGTGGACAGAGTGGAATGTTTTGGAAAGTGGCAGAAGGATATATCCAAGTTTGTTTGGCAGGGCAAAAAGCCCCGGATAAAGTTTAAAATACTAACTGATTTGAAAGAAAGAGGGGGGTTTGCCCTGCCGGACTTGAGATTATATTATGAAGCTGCGGCCTTCTGCTGGATGAAAGATTGGTTACTTCTTGAGAACACTGATGTTCTAGATCTGGAAGGGTTTGATAATGCTTTTGGTTGGCATGCATATTTGTGGTACGACAAGGTAAAGGTTCATAAAATGTTCAAAAATCATATTGTTAGAAAATCAATATTTATGGTCTGGACAAAATACAAGGACTTATTAGAGGGTAAGACTCCGAGGTGGCTTTCACCAGCAGAGGCCAAGGCCCGGCAAACACCTACTCTGGAGGTTGGTTGGCTGAAATATGGGGAAATTATAGAAAAAGTAGGAGAAACTTGGAGGCTGCAGAGTTATGAAAAATTAAAGAATAAGGTGCAAAATTGGCTTCACTATGCTCAAATTCAAGAGGTTTTTAAGCTGGACAAAAGAACAGGTTTCCAGGTGGAAAAATCGAAACTAGAGACAGAATTGTTGGAACCAAAGACCAAGGTACTTTCGAGAATGTATATCTTGCTGCTTAAATGGAACACTCAGGATGAGACAGTCAAATCAGCCATGATAAAATGGGCTCAGGACATTGGGTACAACATTATGTTTGAAGACTGGGAAAGGTTATGGACCACTGGTATGAAATTCACGGCATGTAATGCCTTGAAAGAGAATATTATGAAAATGATATACAGGTGGTACATGACCCCAGTCAAGCTTGCTAAGATATATCATTTGTCTGATAATAAATGTTGGAAATGTAAGGAGGCTGAAGGGACATTCTTTCACCTCTGGTGGACTTGCCCAAAAGTGAAGGCCTTCTGGGAAATGATCTATAATGAGTTAAAAAAAGTGTTTAAGTACACTTTTCCCAAGAAACCAGAGGCCTTCCTACTGGGCATTGTCGGTCAGAAGGTGTTAAAGAAGGATAGAACCTTTTTATGTATGCAACTACAGCAGCAAGAATTCTTATCGCAAAATACTGGAAGACTCAAGATTTACCCACACTGGAAGAGTGGCAGACGCAATTGATGGGCTACATGGAATTGGCCGAGATGACTGCCAGGATCCGAGATTTGGAGGAAGAAGCAATGGAGGAGGATTGGAAAAAATTTAAAGATTATTTACAAAAATTTTATAAGTTATATGAATGTTAAGAATTCGCATGATTAGGGAAATTCAGCTCCAGCAATAAGATTAAGGTATGGGAAACTAAGCTATATTAATGAAAGGACTAACGTTTAAAAGAACATTATATATATTATTAGTGTAAATTGACAATAAGCATTTTAAACGCAAATCACAAGTATTTGAAAGAACAAAAGAATGCACGAAATAAGGTTATAATTTGCTGAAAAATTTTATTGTAAAGAACGCAAGGTGAGGGGGACGGGGGGAAGTCCGGTTGGTTATGGAAAAATGCTTTGAAAAGATGATTTTCTTCTTTTTCTTTCTCTTTTCTGTTATTTCTTTGTATATCTGACCTTGTATTTCTATCTGGAAAAATGCAATAAAAAATATTATAAAAATAAATAAATAAATAAATAAAAAGTTTGCTGACCCCTGGTGTAGGCGAAGGCAGCAGTCAAGGCTGTGCAGATGGTTTGGTGGGAGAGCCTGATGAGGTCTCTGATCTCATCACTGTCCTGTCTTACCCTGGTGCTGCCCAGGCGAGCTGTAGAATCCGGAGGGTGGCTTTAGCCCAACATACTTGGCCACTACAGTGGTACCTCGGGCTAAGTACTTAATTCGTTCCTGAAACTGTTCTTAACCTGAAGCACCACTTTAGCTAATGGGAACTCCCGGTGCCGCCGCCCCGCCAGAGCATGATTTCCGTTCTTATCCTGAAGCAAAGTTCTTAACCTGAAGCAATATTTCTGGGTTAGCAGAGTCTGTAACCTGAAGCATATGTAACCCGAGGTACCACTGTACTGTTTACAGCTCAAAGATCAACAAGTTAAGCAAGGATCCACAAGAGAAAGAAATAAGAGCCTACAAGGACTTGAGATTGAAACATAAATAGTCTCCTTAAAATGAAAAATAATTCTGATATCCCAAATGATAATGGGTCTGCTGAATATACCAAGAAAAAAATGGGGTTAACTACTACATATTTACAATGCTCTTGAGCTCTGAACTTTGGGCTTTTCTCATTATACATGGCTGGAATTTGTTTGTTAGTCTGTGATAGAATGTATCACGAGTCATCCCAACCCAATACTAGAATACTAGCTTTGTGAAGTTTTATGCAGCCATATCTGGCTCTGGTTTGACCCTCTTCCTTCCATGTATGGCTATTAATTATGACAAAAACATGTCAAGAAAGTGACTTCTGAGTTGTGAGGTATCACACTACCAAATTGATTGTTTCTATCTCTCCCCGCTGTTATAATCAGGGATTAGCTTTTAGTTCCTGAACAGAGAGCATGAAATTGATTCAAGAGGCCATTTGCAGAGCTGCTTTCTGTCATATGAAAGTAACCTTTTAGGAATGGGCTTTTCAGATTTTAATTCTATTTATTGCGTTTTGTGTAGTATTCCAAAAAACATTTAGCTGAATATATTAGGTACCTTGAGAGTGAGAAACACAAACACCTGCCAGAGATCCATCATTTTCTTTAGCTTTCTGTGGGCTGTCTTGTTTACTTCCCTCCTAACACTCCATTTCATGTAGGGTTGCACTTTGATCTCAGTTTTCAATTTCCTGGTCCTAATGTCAACTCTGTTTGTTCAGGCATTCTCCAAATACTCAAAATCAAAACTAATTTTAAGCGTCTGCAGTGCAAATACTGAGCAAGAATCACACGGATCTTCATTCACCAGTGGAGGTCCTTGGACAGCTGCTTTGAAAAAAAGTACACATGACATTAATTTCAGGAGTCAGGTGCACTCCTTCAACATATCTGATCCTCTCTGGACACATGGGGATAGATGCTTCACTGATCCACCCAGCTAGAGGGACCATTATAACAAAACCAGATTCGGATGGCCAGCCTTTAAAGCTGTATATTGTTTTGAGTCAGGATACACATTGAGAGGGAGTACGACAAGGCTGTATATTGTCTCCCTGCTTATTTAATTTATATGCAGAATTCATCATGCGAAAGGCTGGGCTGGATGAATCCCTAGCCGGAATTAAGATTGCCGGAAGAAATATCAACAACCTCAGATATGCAGATGACACAACATTGATGGCAGAAAGTGAGGAGGAATTAAAGAACCTTTTAATGAGGGTGAAAGAGGAGAGCGCAAAATATGGTTTGAAGCTCAACATCAAAAAAACCAAAGATCATGGCCACTGGTCCCATCACCTCCTGGCAAATAGA